AACGAGAAAAGGGACAATATTGTTTAAAAACATATTGTAGAGCGAAGTCACTGGCTGTGCAATTGTTAGAGAGAAATTGCAGAGCCGAGAATTTATACATTTGGGGCCAAGTTGTGGAATAAACTAACATTAAGCTCATGAATATACTGGATTAAAAGTTACCATCACTTTGGGAAAATAAAAAAAAATGACGCATATGATTTATTCATAAACGTTGGTGCGATGATATTTATCAAATAATGAATTATTAAAATTCATATTATTACTATTGTTGTCATTATTATCATTAATATTAGGCCTGTCTATCGTCATAATTGTCATCATCATTATTATTAAATAATATTATTCTTATTAGCATTGTTGTAGTGTTATGATTATCATAACTATCCTCATCAACAACATTATCATCATCATCATTTTTATTGTTATTGTTGTTACAATCATTTATGTGTTATTAATATTGATATTATTACATGAGTTGATTAAATATTATACAGTAGTCCTACAGGTATGTGGATAGTCTTAAAATATAGACTTTACGTTGACAAAAATGGCTGTGCGAAATAATAATCATCATTGATATTAGGCATGTTTATCTAATTATCCTCATCAACATCATTATCATCATCATCTTTATTATTGTTATTATTGTTACAATCATTTATGTGTTATTGATATTGATTTTATTACATGAGTTGATTAAATATATACAGTAGTCTTATGTATGTGGATAGTCCTGAAATATAGGCTTAACGTTGAAAACAATGACTGCGAAATGTGTACGGCGCACGTGGTCACATGATACAAACCTCAAACAAAAACTGGGGAATTCCCCAAATCTAATTTCGGTAAGGTATAATCAACCCAACTCTGATTTATTATTGGATAATCACTTCTCTGGTCCGAAGGCATTCGAACAAGGGTATAACAATTCAAAATTTGTGTTTAAACCATAAAAAATGTTAAATGACGTGACCTATTCAGTGGACGCATCATTTCCAGAAACGTAGCTATAATTTAGTGCCCAGAATTGGAATTTTAATTATTAATGAATTTAAATATCAATTAAGTACAATCATGGCTCGAACTTCGGACATTCACGGTAAATCCAACATGCAAGTATCGAATGAATGTCGTTTAATTCTTTTTGCGTGCCTGACGTTTTTGTCGGAATAGGACTAATTAATATTTTATCAGAGATCTTTTAATACATTTTCACAGTACATTTAGAACGACAGGGTGAATTTCGAAAGTTATAAAAAAAAAAACATAAACAGAAACGTCCAGCAAGGCAAATATAGGCCTAATGAATATTTTTATATCGGAAAAATATACAGTACTAACATCTATTTCTTTGTTCCCGTCTTTGTAAGATCATAGAATAAAGTGATGTATTTGAGGATTGACGCATTACCAAAGTGTCTGTATGCATGATTGCATGGATGAATGCATGATTGACACCCATGGACATGGAGGTAGGCAGAGCATCCGTGCTTCAGGTAACCTATTCACATCTGAGTGGGCACCAGTGAATCTAAACGGAGTTGAAAGACCAGCACGATCAAATCCCACGTCGAAAACACCAGCTATTTTTATCAACATCTTTAAAAGCCAAATTATATGTACTGTAATATTACATATTATATGATACAATTATGATTCTCTGTGTGTTAATTTACGCTTAAATTCTAGCTTTTTCTCATCAACATTTATCTGAGCCGCGCTTCAGTCATCTGTTAACCACATCATTAATTATTAATATGTGTATATTTTTAAACTATATGTATATAATGTATAAACACATGTATCGTATATAATATTACTGAATTATTATTATTAACCTTTATATAGGCCTAACATTTATTGGTTATCCGGAGTTATTACGTAAAACCATTTGAAATTTCTTTTTTTTTTCATCATCCTCCGAGATGAAATTAATCAAGTTCATATTTACAGTAGATCTAATGTAACTTTCGAATTGATTCAAATTGTGTCCATGTTCACGTTCATAGGCTTCATTAACCTTTAATTGCGTTATTTAATTGAACAAATCGTCTGTAAAGTTAGCATAATTGATCTGCTAAAGCACATTAATGATGTAAGCTGGCAAATAACATTACATAACAATTGACCGTATGATGACTTTAAAAAATATTTAGGCCTATTTCATTTACTTTGTCAATTGTGAATACATTACATTTCTTTAATCCTCTATATTTTAAGTACATTACATTTATTTTATTTATTGTAAATACGGGTATGATTCATTTTGTTAACACTTTAACTATGAAAGTAAGATTGAAGTTGGGGATTCGATTTATCTCTTTACCATTTCGATTCAACCTTCAAGAAACTTGCAGTATCAATGCAATTCCCTTACGATATTATGTCATTTTACAAAACAAATAACGTACTTGTACTTTAATCTCGAACCTATAAACGATAATATCTTAGAGCCTTGATATTACCCATAATCCTTAATGCCTTCCATCCATTTAACGCATATTTTGAATGTTGTCGATTTTTGGTAGAAAGGCGGCACGCTTTGACCTTATTCTGTTAACTGAGAGATTGAAAGAATGATACTTGTAACGACCCGTGTACAAATAGAGAGTCAGTCTCTGGAGATATACATGGCCCCATTTCGAATGCAAAACAACCGAAATATGTTTACGAACGGTGTTGAAACAATGTCGTAGCAAGCCCACTCCTCAATTAGTGGTTTTACCAGCGTCTGAAAAATCTTAAAACTAGCTCAGAAATATGTAACAAAATTGGCACAGTATTGGTGTAGTGAAGTATTTTACTTTATACCTAGTCTTGCCAATGTTGATGTAGAATTGTGTATCCCTTCTGTAATTTCTCGAAGGTACAATATTTTATCGTTAACTAATAGTTTTAAAAACGTTAAAGGAATTAATAGTAAAACGTTTACTTATTTAAAGATGTTTACTTAAATTGTATAACTTGCATCATTAAATATAGGTTATCCCACAATTTTGTTTTATTTCTAAATTGTTAGGCTTCTTATAGACCCGTGTGAACGCCATTCCAAAGTAAATACCACATTTTTTAAGGCGTATTTGAATTCTAAATGGATAGTCTAATGTGATAAAATATTGTCCTTGACCATTCCTATAGCTCAAAGAAATGTTGCTATATAAATAAAAGTGAGTAAATATTTGATGTTAAATAAGATTTAACTATTTTAGAAAAACATAATGGGATCTGTTAAAATTGGACGTTGATATAAAAAAGATGATTTATTTTTAAGTTGTTTCGCTTGAGGCAATAGGTTAAAAGTGATAGCTAAATCTTCCCACTACTTTCTACAAACATGACGTACAGAGATAACAACAGCGATAGTTAAATGTGTTCATATTTAAGTCCTTTTGATTCTTGTGATTCAAAATGTTTACGATTCCACATTTGGTTCCCAAATTGGTTCCATATTTGTATTAGATAATATTCTGAATTATTAATAGGTATTCGTTATCATTTAATGTAGGTCTATGTGTCGTTTTTGCGGGAGTCGTTTACTTTGCGTTGACAATGTTTGTAAACAAAACCATTGATTCAAATTCTATACTGGTATAGTACTGCGTACATTTTACATTGAAATCGCATCTGTGAAATAAATTTAAATTTAGGAGAAATGGCTAAACTTAATTTATAAGTAAATTGATTATTGATAACAATTCATAGTATATAGAAACGAAAAGATTTATTGTAATATGACAACAGACGTACTGTCGGCCCTAATTGTTTATTAATTATCATGTCTCTATTATCAGATGAAATTAATAATGTTTAGTCTACACTGTATTGTATTAAGAACGATATGATAATGTGCTGCAACACACGATGCAATACGCTCATTGTTACATGAAAAGGAGATGTTTTTACATTGCTTTAGAAATTCTAAGCCTAGACAAATAATAGTAACGAAAGAATGTGGGTTTGAAACCTAACGACTAATATCGACAGTAGTTGAAAATGGTGATAAATTGCTTGTTGTACTTGAAATAAAAACCCTTTTAGAATATGATACGTTGGAACTAACCTTCTGGTTATTATCGAAAGTGGAATAAAAATTAATGTGAATTCTGGCCTGTCGCCGAATTTTCAGGCCTGCGTTTGTTTCCAGCGCTTAGCAACAAATAAAAGTTGGCCTTGTGCTCTTTGTCTTAGATTCAAATTTAATGAATTCAGTACGTTAACATTGGCCCGTGTACGATAGCCGGCAGTGTCGTAAATCACCAACAGTCTAAACCTGGCCGCGGCAAAGTATGAACTACAAATGCTTCTGTCCCAGTTCAATCGAATCCCAGGGCCTAGTAATTACAATTGGTCGTGTGCTGTGGACATTTTCTCTACCGATAAGTCCTTTGTTTCGTCATCGTTTGTTTATTTTCCCTGTGTCTGATCATCGTAATAACACACACACATTGAAGAGGGTAAATAGATATTATAACTTAGAAATTCGTAACACATTAATAAACGTTCTGCACATGATTTGTAATTAGTTGGGTACCCGGTTACTGTGGTTTGTTTTCTACAACGTGATCTCGCCGCATTATATCAATCAATTTCGAGAAATGCCTGGTTTAGGTGTATTATCAGCTATTTTGACAATAAAATACCTCATTCCAGATTAGCAGGCATACACGTTTGAATATTCTGTATCTGTAAGGCATATACACGATGTATTTTGAACTTTATTACTGTTATAATTCAATATTTGAAAATTGTTTCTTTCAATAACGGTATAATTGCTGTCCACTCTAAAACAAAACATAAAACAAATCCAGATACTTCGAATAGGTCTATGTAAATATAATATAAGATGTAGCTTAGGCCTATCCATAGTATTGGTACTACTTCTTTATAGGGGTAAGTTGACCATCTATTTTACACCGAACGTTAAGAATAATAATTCAATAGGCATAAACACAAATAAGGTTTATATGTGTCAAAATAAATGTTGTTAATGTTATGATTTAGGCTTTTTGAGTTTGATTAAATAAACAGATCAGCTTACCTTCTTCTTTATCTGATTTTCCTCCGTCCGTCGATCCCGTGTCCTTTGTTGTTATCGGAGGTGGTGATGAAGACGGTGATGACGGCGTAAAAGTTGACGTTTTGCGTCCAGTTTTACATGTTGCGGGATACGTCTGACTGTCGAAATTGGAAAAAGTTGTATAGCGTTTCTCTTCTGCTGCAGTTGCTGTACTGTTGTATCGGCTGAACGTGCTGGTGTAGGCTGGGCCCAAGCTAGCGCCACTGTGCGGTGTATACATTGTAGAGCCAGGGTTCGCATAGCGATCGTATGATTGTTTCGAAAGAGAGTAATAACTACTTAACCCTGTATCATAGTTCTTTTGTGTACCCATATAGGGGTAGGCTGTCGGATCATAGTCCTCCCCGATACCAGTCATCGGGACAGACGTGTAGTGCTGGGTGTCGCATGAAAAATACCAAGGGTTGGCATACCCGGGCTGATCTGTAGGGAAAGAGTACATGTTCGTTGCAGGGGTGCTCGAAAGATTGTTGTGGACTCCGGCAGCTTGCGTTACGGAATCTGAGAATTTCGTGGCAAAGCTGCCACATTTTGAGGTGGCAAGAGCCGCCGTCTGAATATCGCTCGCCGCCGATGGTTTCAAAACTGGAGCGTTCTCACCAGAATGTATTAGAGAATTAACGCAGAACGCTGAAGCTGTCATTTTAATACTGCTCGTATTTTTCTTCAGAGCAATTCGGCCGCTTGACTGCGTCTGGCGATAAACCTTATACGACCCTATAGGCATAAAACATAAGCGAGAAAGAAATATTAGCACTCGTCATGTGATTACAGTGACCAATCAAAGTTGGCAACGCCAAACGCGCAGTTGCTTTGATATCGAACAAATACACATCCCAACCATTTTTAATTTCTTAAATTTCAATTTTTTTTGTCATTTATCTCCATCAATTAGATCATAAATAAACTTTTTGGAAAGATTAGTTAATGAAGCTGAACTTTTCGTTAAATAATTGTTTCAACGACTGAATCTTCAGTAGAACTCACTTTACTATAGAAGACTTCAGTAAGTGAACCAAAGAGTACCGTAATTGATTCCATGGTTACCAAATTAACATTGGATATTTTCAAATCAACAACAACAGGATACACTCAGATTCTCTTTCCTCGATGATGTATCATAAATATGAAAAAAAAACTCATAAGTGACTTAACTATCATTATATGTAGGCCTATATAAATATATATATATATATATATAATATATTACATATTATATATGTATATATACATACATATATATATATATATATATAAATTATTTTCCTATATTCAATGGATTATGTTAATGATACAGATGCAGAGACAAGAAGCTTGGTCCATTATTTTTAAGTCTAACATAATTTTGTAATGCCTCAGTTTAGTATAGATAATAGTTATATTGTACGCTATTAAGTCAATGATAACATTGCCTACTGTTAAAAAAAAATTACAGTGAAATAAACTTACTAAATAGTTTTAGAAACACATTAACTTGTATAATAGGCATAGGCCTACCAATAGATTTCCCTAACCTTAATGAAACTATGACGATCGTTATTTGAAAGCAATATATTTTTCGAATATAAATATTTTTTAGACTAAATATTTAAACCAAAAATGGAAAATTAATGAAATACCATCATGCTGGTAGCAAATCCACTTAAAGCTTTAACGAGATCAGCTTTTATTGATATTTAATAACTATTTAAAGTCATATAAATATATAAGTCAAAATCATAGGTGAATTGAAATTTGAATACAAGTAGGAACGTATCATAATTAATTATGCCTATGTATATGTACGTTATTAATGTTAACAATGCATTTATTGTTTCAAACGAAGCTCATTTTTAAAATGGCGGCTTGGCATCGGTGTATAAGTTAGGATAGATAATTGATAACTGTAGGTAATACAAAAATTATACGTACTACATAAATCTTGCCGAGTCATATTTGAATAAAATCCGGACAAACCCGAATACAATCTGAATCAACCCGAATCAAACCCGAAGCAAATCCGAATCACAATGCAATCATACGAAGACGCCATTTCCGAATCGAATCCAAATCAAATCTTAATCAAATCCAAATCATCATAATCAAATTCTAATCATAATCGTATACACACGAATGCACTATTACCGACCGAATCAAATCCCATTAAAATCTGAATAATATCCGAATCAAAGCAGAAGAATAAAACACACGAAGATAGGTTTGCCGAAAAAAATATAATTATAATGTTATCATTCAATATACATTCAACAAATACGGCTTGCAAGCTACATGCAAATGGTTTGATGACCGATGTCAGATCTGGAAAAGTTATCATCGGAAGATTAACAGTTGATAGACATGATAGCCGGGAACAATAATTAATTCTAAATGTGCTCTACTTCGATGTGTGTTCTACTGAACTAAGATTAATCCAGACTTAATAAAAAAAAAACAGATACAATGAACATTGCAACGTTATGATATGACTATAGTGCACGTACATAAGTCTTTACATAATGTAACTAGCCCTACTCTTATCTATTTATACTAATGGTTTTTTCTTTAAAATTAATGTATATTTTTTTGGTCTATACGTGCTATATACATTGTCTCTGTTTTGTTACAGTTAGGCCTATATATTGTATAATACATAAGCTTATAAAAGAAAATGTGTACACACTGACAAACACACTTTGAAAACGATTGAAGCTGTAAATATATATGCATAGGTTTGTATCAAATTAATTATTGATAAATAGAAATTGATAATAAAAAATTGAATAGGTATTTGTGTAGAGGATCTACATATTATGATGAAGATACCTAGGTATCATATATTTAAAAGCCATATCATAAGCCTGTCATACTATACGGTACTGTATACGATTATGTAAAATTAATGTAGGACTATGCTATTATAGTCTAGTCCTATCCTATAACCGACCTGGAATAAATAGCATATTATACGACAGCAGTTGATTGTTGGTATTTTTGCCTAATATATAATGTATCTATCATTATTATATGTATATATGTATATACATATGCAATATATATACATATATATAGGCATACATATAGGCCTATATATATATGCTTATATATATATATATGTATAGATATAATATAAATCATCAAAGGTACATATACAGTGTTAAATAAGGACATGATGGAACATCGTAGGCTACCCTGTAGCTTTTCCTATGAAAAACGAATAAGAGCCATATTTATTCGTTGAAAAGCTACAGGGTAGCCTACGATGTTCCATCATGTCCTTATTTAACACTGTATATGTACCTTTGATGATTTAATATTTATTCAACAGAGTTAACGGCTAACTTCCTTCAATACCATGTATAGATATAGATATATATACGTGCATTTATACATATAAAGTATAAATAGGCGTACGATTTATAACAATAAACACTACCATAACATTTAATATAGGACTATGTGTATTGTATACATTAGCTTTAACATAAAGCTTTTCATATCATATGATATTAATATATTACATACAGGTAGGTATAGAAGGCGCTTTTATTTAGTCAATACGGTATAATACTTAAGTAAATAGCCTAATAATATTGTAAGTTTAACTCACCTTCTAGGATCTTATTTAACGAAAATATAACTGAGATACAACTTATACAGTTATAAGATGGGTGTGCATATTCGAATAGGCCCACCATCTTTGAAATAGTGCATGAATTTTCAGATTTTCGTTTGAGTAAATATTGAAAGTTGGCAGTGCCGTAGCATTCCTATAGAATGTGTAAAATATGGGCCTACATTAAAGACACAAACAACATAATCAAATTAATCAAATTCTTGTCCTATTGTAGATATACTGACAATCATATTGATATATATGCAGCATAATACTTAGATTCCTAAAAAGTGATAACGAATTTTCCTTAAAAACAAATCGATTTATTTGTTATACTGTAGTAGTGAGACAGGCCTAATGTTAAAATTCTGTTCAGGCAACAGAACCGACTCACTCGTCGTAGCTAGGCTTACCTTCTATCCCTTTAATCGTTATCAGTAAAGTTCGAATTGTATATAAAATTTCCGGACCGTTGGTTTATTTATTAATTAAATTCGTAAAATAAAATATCAACAGTCAATTTGTAAAATACCAGACTCGGCTCAGTACAAGTGCTTTGCGTGTAGTGGCCGTTATAAACATGTGTCTATCCATGGTAGCTACAACTAAAGTATTCCAAGTTACCTCTGAAACACACATTTGGTATTTAGCGAACAAAACCGCCATCATAACTGCTATAATTCCGCGCTGCGGCGTGGACTAGAGGTATGGCTAAACGGCTTAACGGTAGATTATCGGGATCAGGCAGATAATCCTCATTTAATACCAAATTGCGTCTTCTGGTGTTTTAGAGCTGTTACTCCCGAAACCTTAGCATTTAAGGAATTACAAATACTCACCAAAAAGTCACAGTTTAACAGGTTTGTCAAAAGACCAAAACTATTTGAAACCGAAGACGACTAACTTACCAAAAAAAAGGAAAATTCAATGATATATCCAGATGTCAAACTTAACAAATATCAGCATTATTTTCTCATAAATATTAATGATTAAATATCTATCCTGTATTTCACTTTCAAGTATGCTTTGCGACTTAGATGGTGGTATTGAAGTTATCTATTTAAACTTAGGCCTATCTGATTAGTTAGCACATTGCCTATTTAAATCTACAAGAAAACAATCGGAAATGGAGCTACAAAGTTCATTAGGCCTTTAGATTACCATTGGATATGAGCTCAAAAAGGGTTATTAATTGTAAAGGCATAAGTACCGGGAAGGCTTAATTAGGATTCATTTGGATGTATCCTTTTGGAACAATAATATGATATAATATAATATGATATCATATGATATTATATATAATATAATATAATATAATATAGGCCTAATATAATGTAATATAATATAATATAATATTACATAGGCCAAATATAATATAGCCTAGGCCCTAATATAATTAATATAATATAAATTAATATAATCGAATATGATTTATTGTAAAACGTAAAACGACAGGCCTATATCTGGCAAAATTCAGAATTGGTAAGCGAAACTTCAAATTTTATTTTCCGTATGTAACATAAACAGCCAGCAAGCAAACCACAGAATAAAGTCTGGTGATCGGTGAGAGGCTAGTCGTCAGTCAGTTAATGATGTAGCCTATTAAAATGATTATGTATTGCTTTAGAAAACTATATA